GAAGTTTTTCGGACACGGATGTAACAGGAATGTGCTATCGAAATTAATGGTTGTACGGCCTTGCAATTGGCCTAACGACGATTCCATTACCACCCAGACACAAGAGCTTGTAATAAAGAGATCAGACGGTTCATGAATACGATTTTAAGTCTTGCAACAAAACGGTTGCGTATTTCCAGAAATTAAACAAAAGTCAATTGCTTTACGAACCAGACATTCGACATACCCAAATTGTTTCAGATTTCCTCAAAAATCTCCCGAACTCTGTAATAGGACAAAATTGTGAAATTATCAAAGCACCTACAAAGTTACCAAACTTCTCAATCGAATCATTATTAACTCAAGATCTCAGGAAAAATAAGAAATTCCAGTATGCATCTCAGTAATGCATATTTCTTAGTATCTCATATGAACAAAATAATAATAATAATAATAATAATAATAATAATAATAATAATAATAATAATAATAATAATGTAAAATGTTTAATTTCAATCCTATGCGAATGTCGGCGTAGTACCTTACACAACGGGCTAAGGACCGTGCGCGATTTTTTTCCCACATCTGCTATCATACCCATTCTTAGGACTTGGTGTTGGGCTGATTTTCCGTTTAAATATCGTATAAACCATCCCATGAAGTAGAAAGACTACGCTAGTACTGCGAGTACGCGGATGTTGGCTGAGTCCCAAACTGGGATGCAGCTCCATTAGAAATAATGTAATACATTTTTTTATTAGAGTACTATACCCAATTGATGAGCAGGATTTGCTGCTTCATGCATCTGGTTTTTAAGTTAACTTGTGGCATTTGCTTTGCATGTTTTAAATAACTATATATCCCTAATTATTTATTCAGTTTTTGACAGGAATGTATATACCATATTTACTTATAACTAAAAACTCGTGCCACCGTGTTCTCAACCCAATTATATTTTAGCTTGCATGCGTCCGCCAATTTTATACAAAATTTAATTTAGTGTTGTATTTCATAATAACTAGCATGAGATCGTACTAATTTCATGGCCCACTGTTGCTGCCTCCCAATTAAAAATATCGAATATGATTCAGATTTGTGAACTTTCATTCTAGTTCCATTTCATAAATATATTACTTTTAATGTAGGTAAAACATGCAGATTAACTCGACGTATTCTTTCAATATTTCCAGAATATAAATGCCCCCCCCCCCTAAACCACATATTATTTATTACTTCCCTTATTCACCTAAAATTTCTTAAAATATCTATTTACAAATGTTTGCTCTAATAGAATTTATATCTTTAACATAAAAATGAGCTCCGTGCAATGTTTTACGCGTACATTACTATATTACGGCAAACATTAAAGAAAAAATTTGGAGCCTTATTCAGAAAATATATTTTATTTATTAAATTTATTCCATTATTTTAATTCCCTAAATAATAATAAAACACAGATTTAATTAAGAAAAATCTATCTTCAATACTCTAGTTTTAAGACGTCGAAAAATTTAAACTGTTGCAATTTTTGGAAAATTCGGAGTTCAATGAGACCTACACCATTTCTATCAGCGTTTTCAAGGGGAAAATTTGAATTTTTGATATAATCTCGTTTTTAAAACTGATTACATTTCATTAAAGAATAGCCAAAAAAATCGCAATTTTGAAAAATTGTACATCACATTTTATTAAGATGAACTTTGAGGAAAATAGTCCATTAAAAATTCTACTTTCATTATAGTAACTGTAGGAAATGGCAAAACAATTTAAACATTTTCAGTTTTTGGAAATTTAGAGAGTTCAACGAAACTGGGAAACAAGTACGTTATTTTTAGGGGAATGAAATACGTTTACCCTACACTCGCAAATTACAAATGTGCGGATGCAGTCCAAGAAACACCATTTCAAAAGTAAATTTGAAATAATCGAAAATATAATGTACATTAAAGTTGTTCTATTTTCCCCAATGTTTCGCTAATAATTAGTTTCTACAAAAAAAATTAAAAAGCCATTCATACCTACACACAAAAGTTAGTTTTATTTATTGAAAAATAACTACTCCATGTGTTACTCAGACAATTTAAGAATTCACTTTTACACCTAAGTAAAACATACACATTTTCAAATGGTTATTTCTAATCAGTAAAGCAATGATACGTATGCACAGAAATGGTAAACATTTGAGAATAAATTAATGTGGCCATCCGTTTGTGTAATTTTTAAAATGTATTCGTACCTTCATTCAATTCTTCTACATCCTTCATTGTTTGCGTTACAGTTTAATGCTCGATATCTACATGTACGTTAAGTTATGTACAGCAGTAATTATGAAATCAAATATCATGGTGGAGGGAAAGATAAAATATTTTAAAATAAAAAACGTATTTTTGTTTCGAAAAGAATTGTGGTAATGTATTGCAATAGGCAAAATTTAATATTATCATCGTCGGAGTGTCCATGGCTTACGATATGCAAGGACTCAGCAGTCAATGTTTCTCAATGTTTCAAATAAAGCGGTCTACATTTTTTCGGGCAGACGTTAACGCGACAAAGTTACATTCAGTGGCGCTGTCTATCGAAAATAAATTACAAATTTTGTCGAAGTACTTTATGCACGAAGCTTCATTTATAATACAATTCTGTCAATTTGGGCCACACCACATATTCCGATACCTACACAACATAAAACCTGGAAAGATATTGTCAATAAATCTTTCAGCCGCCTTTTTATTTCCAAACTACACTGATCTCCCATCCAGGAACTAGGACGACAAAGGCGGAAGACGCTCCATCATGAAGGCTCAGAAAAAATACACATCATGTGACCATCTTGTCCACTGGATCTCCGTGTCTTCATATGAGGTGTCGAAATGATTAATTCGGACATGAAATCAAAACAATTGCGAAAGAAATACGTCAAATATAATTACTTAGTGAAGTGATTGTTACTTCAAATACTTAATATTTTATCGTTTCGGAACGTCAAAAATAGTTCAAAACTGTGTGATGTACTAGGCGAAGGTGTCGCGTACTATGGAGAATTTGAAACTTGCTCGTTCTTCATGAACTATTTCTATCATATTGCATCAAATTATTAATTCATCTAATTATCGATTTTTCTTCTCCTGAAAGCTTTTCAGCCAAATGGAAAAACAGTTTCATAATTTTATGCATTGCTTCTAAAAATATATAAGAATTTAATATATAAGAATAAACATACAAATTTTAATGAAACTAGATCACTATCCCACCATTTTGTAAAAAAAATAGTAATTAAATGTGTAGGAACGCAAGCACAACTGATGGTCTGAAAAGTTCGTGAACATTTGTCGAGAGTTAAAATTTATCATCGGTACAGTACCATATCATGGGTACAGTACCATCAATAAGTCGGTAAGTAGAATGAGTAAGCATCGGTAAGTTGTACATTGGTTTCTAAAGTGCCGAGTGCTTCCTGCAGTAACACGATGGTACAACGCACATGTAAAATGGAACAGAGAATGGTACATTCCATCATGTGTTCAATTGAGGAATTAGAGAATTCACGTTTCATAATTGTTGAATGGAAACAAATGTAAGCTAAGCATCAACTTCCGGCAGAAATAATATCTAAGCCTGTAGTGGCATTTGAAATATTCGAATGAAACATTGTGCCTGCAGTTTCAATATTTGAATTAAGCTTTAAATTAAGGAAATGCGAGGAACAGTTAATTACATAACTAGAATAGAAAGTGCGTCTTTGGGTAATAAAACGTTGACAAACGAGGCAGCGATGGACGCAGAGTCTGGCATTTAGAAATGAGTACAAAGACACGAGTTTCGAAAATTATTTTTTTGTATGAATCACCGACAAGTGTGTACTCTTGGGATCATTCTTCATATGCGAAGTGGAAGTCATGTTGATTTAAGTCAGTCCATAAGCCGGAAACCAGCAAGAAAAACCACGTATGATAAGCTCAAAGCTAAAACATTGTTTAATAATTAGTTAACCAGTGTTGGTATGAAGAATAGGAAATCGCAAGTTTGGCGGTCAGGAGGTGTCGGCGTTGCGCTGCACAATGTTTTGAATGTGTGGAAAAAAGTATGCCCTTGGGGAATGAGCACACAGCTAATTCTTGCTGTATATTGTTCATTAGATAGCCAAAGTGTGAAGGAGTTGTATGCAATACCGATGTTACGCCACAGATTGTCAACCATACTAAATTCGAATGTTCATTTTTTTAAATATAATGTAAACGTCTGTTAAATTATACTATGAGTAATAAATCTCGATCATCATTCTGACAGAGATATCAAATCAAATAAAGATTGAGTGATAATACTACCGAGGATTGAGCCTAAGCCATGTTATGGCCATCACCATGGTAAGAGAAAACCGTATGGTTCACATAGTAGTCAAAAATGTAAGTAATGAATAACAAGACAATACTTGTTGCATGCATTCAATAGTTAGACATCGATCAGGCACACGTGTAGTCACAAAAATTGTGCAGCGGACTATTATACTTGAGTTTCTTGTTATTCATAACAATGGCTAACTTCTAAAAAAGGTTTAGCTTTGAACTTATCATATTTCGCTTGCTCAAGTATCATCTTGCAGAAATTTTCGGCAGAAAATGTATTTTTTGTTATTTACGTTGGTAAACACGCACTTAGCCTCTTAGCAACCAACCATCTAAACAACGCTTTAAGAGTGCGTCCATAGCAACGGCCAAAAGTAATCGAGGGTCCATTAAAATATTTTAGAGAACATTCGAGTTTAAATTTTATTAGTGCTCATAAATCTTAAAATAAATATGACGTTGATACAAAACACAATTTTTGGGAATAAATGTAAAAAAATTATTTTTACTATTATTTTAGTACAGATATATTGAAAGCAGTATGCTAGCATAATCTCATCGTTAATACCTCGAACATTCCTTTTCGTTCGCCTATCACAAAATCAATCAAAAGCTTTCTCATAAGTAGTTACAGATTTAGAAGGCATCAAACTAGAGCTTGCAGCTTCTCCAGAATACTATCTTGCAGGAAAATATCTTCTGATACTTCCAAATTTCCGGACATTTTTTCACAATCAGCATGCCTGAGCAGAAAAAGCATTCAACTGTTTGATTAGAAACAAAACAACCAGTACTACCAACCCTTGCTATAGAAAATCGAGAGTAATGACAATTCTTAACTCACGACAGTTATAAAAGATTATTATGTATAAGTAATAAACTAGAAATAAAAGATTGTATGTAACTCGTCCCCTATTAGACTTCAAAAACTCATTTAGAGGACTCGTGACAAATAACTATTTCCAATTAAATTAACTCAGGTTCTTAACCTTTTATAACACAAAAGCAGACAGCTTGTGCACGCAGTTCCCGATGGATAGACACCCCTAACAATTTTTTGGACAAAATTTTATGTTAGTTCAAAATGTGTTTCATCTATCAAAACGTAATTCAAAATAAGTGTATCAGTAAAGGTCAGATTTCAGGGCAATTTCTCTTTCTTAGGCCAGGCCAGCTTTTATATAATGGGTCAGTCCTCGAATACGTTGCATATTTCACGCTGAGTTTGCTTCGGCTTACTGCGTCACGAAAGGCATGTTGAAATGAAGTAACGGCGCAACAAAAGAAAATAACGGCGTAAGCAGCCTTGCTCAAACATATTTCAGTTTCGTTCGAACACTGGAAAGAGTCACACTAATCCAATAACTTAATCTTTCAGCATAATTACGAAATATTATTTGAATCGCAATAAATGCTTGGCCATTAGCCGTTTATTTTTAAACGATGCGAGTTGATTTAACGTCAATAACACACGACATTACATATTTTAAAGTTAAATGCAGAGGACTCAATTTGTAAATAAAGAACAAAGAAATGTCAGAAAAACGAAATTGTCAACTTCATTCGAAGGTAAAATCCGGAAATACGCTTTTCCAAAATATGAAAGCATTGTAACCTCTTTTTACATCAGCACATCTATTTAAGGCAGCAACAGTCGATGTATAAAACAATCATTTTTATTTCATTTTAGTTTCTTTTAATACAAAATTTACTTGTTGGTGGGAGAGAAAAAATTCATTTTTTTAAGGATCAAGGAAAACTAAACGAAATATCGAAGAGGACTATCAGATATACAGGTGAACCATATAAGTTGCCCACAACCAATATTGTGAAACCAGTTAGAGGTTTCGAAATGCTATTTGTGCCGTGTTGATGCAGATGATGGGGCAAATAACATATTTCGTTTCGTTTGTACTGTATGCAATTTTAGAGATACGGACACAACTTTTGTTTTTAAATGGAAGTGTATTTTTTCTACTTCATTATAGTTTTTAAAAAATGAAATGCAATGATATCAATATTGTTAATAATCGATAAGTATTTTTTGCAAAAACAGTACAATTAGGACTTGGTAAATGCCACCCCGCAGCGCGTAAGGATAGCTGACCTTGCTGACGTCTTATAATACGCGAGTCGATGCACCTTGTCGGAAAACGAGTAAGTTCACCAATTATAGGACTTGCTATGCTCTGACTATTAGAGCTCAGAACCTCGGTTTTGGACTGCCACAAGTTCTACATGCGCAAGGAAGGAAGGGTGTTCACATTGATTTCAGCGGAGATGTGTATGTAAATACCTTTATTAAATTTACATTTGGGAAGCTTATCACATTCCAGAGAAAAAAAAATCACGGGTACACTGAGGAGAAATCACAGAATATTTATTTCCTTTTATTTAATCACATAGTAACAGTTCTGTTGCAAAGCTACAAATTGAAATAAATCAAAACAGAAGAGAACATTAATGAAAGTATTCTTAACGAACGAAACAAAAGAAGATGAGAAATCGAAAAATTAAGAGAATACCAATATTGAAAATAACATGCTTATATTAAACGTTTCGAAAAACGGCAGCGCGCAAGAAATTCTCTATTTTTAAGTCACGTGCTCTGTGTGTTTCCAGTCGATTGCGATGCACATTTGTATGCAGCGCGCATTGCGAATTTCACATTATAAGGTCATTTTTGCGATAATCTCTTGCTTCTTTTTATAAATTATGGAGTTATTACTAATATTTTTCTATTTTTTCATTATACATTTGTGATAAACACTTCAATAAAATATTAAAGGATTTTCTATGCAATAATTCATGAATTTCCTATGACTTTTACTCTGTACAAACAAGACAGCACTGTACGTAGTATAGAGAAAGTTATGCAATGCTGCGGAAAATCGATTTCGAGATTTCAACGGAAATATACGTTTTGGAGCCACCTGATTCCGAAAAGAGTGTTGTTGTTTTTTTTAAAAAAAAAGAACATCCGTCCGTCCGTCCGTCCGTCCGGTGTACACGAACAACACTAGCGCCTAAACCATGCGTAGGATTTTTTTTCCAAATTGAAGAAACCTCAGTCCATTTGGTCTGAGTCGAAGCTCTGCGATTTTGAAAATCATTAGTTTTTGGGGGTATTGGGGGTACATGAAGCCCCTGGAACATTTTCAAACTTTTTTCAAAAATGGCTCCATCTTTTTCTTTAAATTTCTTGTAAGAATATAGTAAAGATGGCATAGGTCCTAGTTTCACGGTTTGAACTTTCGAAAATTTCCAAAGTTTTAATTTTTTCGGTGTCTTGCTACAACTACAAAATTAAAGATATTTTTTCTTCAAATGAAATTTGTTTGTTCATAATTTGTTCTTTCATTAAGTTCATGTACATTTTTCTGCAAACTTTAGTAGTTTTCCCTCAAAATTGCGTGCATTGGGCGCAATTTAAAAAAATACAAAAACAAGATTTTTCTCAAAATGGGTCATTTTTTCTTTAAGCCTTTATTAGGGATTGTGCTAAATTCACTCTTTAAGATGACATAAACGTCATATTGCTCTATTCTTTTGTTTTTTCAGAAATTAAAAAAAAATTAATGTTTTTGACTAGTCTCTCAAGTCGTTAATATTTACATTAACGGCTATTTAACTTAACATTATTTTATTAATGAGTACATGTGATTTAAATAATGTCACATAAAAACTGCTCCAATTTTTTTCTTAATTTTTTTTTTGAGAATGGTGCTAATTGAATTTTATTAATATGACGTAAAGTTCATTTCGGGGTATTTGTTTGCAAAAAATTACACAAATGAAATTTTTGGAAGATCTCTCACGCTGGTAGTATGCACATTTCCAGTAATTTGTAAACTCTATAGAATATTTGAGTTAAAATGCTTCAAATGAAGTTTTTCGAAAACTCAAAAATTTTCTGTGAAAAACAGATTCAAATTTGGAATGGACTGTAGAGTTTAAACAGCGTTTTCTTAAAAACGGCTCCACATTTTTCAAAGAAAATTGCCATTTAGGACGAGTTTTTACGGTTCTTTAATATTCTTAAAATAATATTTCCGCTCTATTAGGAAACCGAAAAATTGAGAAAAATTCAAAAAATGTACTTTCAACGGCGATAGAGGGCAGCAGGTAAGAGTATGTGCCAAGTCCAAATAGCTAGCTGAGACCAAAGGAAATAGAAAACAAATACGGGAAAGTCTGTGCCATTCTGTAGCACCACTAGATTAAATTTCTTATTGCTGGTAGGGACGTCCGAAAAGGAAAATAAGTTTTGACATCCCGCTATCATTGCTCAAATGAAGCGGCATACGCGCGTAAACGTAAGAAATTATGTTCCATATGCATTTCCTCTAAACCACGGCTGTCCACTGGCGGCCCGCGGTGCCAATCATTGTGGCCCGCGAAAAGATTTTAGCCAAACGTGAAAGTCCTTTGCATGTGTGTCGGCCGGGAACATGGTGCCCCTAGCGTACGCAACCTACCGTGGTCAACACTCCCTTAATGTCAAAATGGATTAAGTTTAGATTTAAGGATTTTTTTTTTTTTTTTTTTGTAAATTCATAAATTCACAATCATCCTAATGTGTTTCACTGCGATTTGGATGCAACTGCCTGATATCACGAAAGGTTCCACCCCACCCCCTTTCGTTACAGAGCAGCCGGGAAACTGCAAGCGCAACAATACGGGGACACGTGTGGATGGCCTGAGTATAGTAAATATGTTAAAGGCTGTAGTTGTGGCCCTCGAGGCCTTGCAAGTTGGACAACCCGGCTCCAAACCGTATGCCACATGTCAGGCGGCAATTTCCAGCTACTCATTTCTTTTTAATTTAAGATCAATCGTGTCGTTTCCGAAGAGATATTTTTCAATCCGCTTCCGATTGAAGGGAATACCATTTACGTTTAAAATGGAAAGAATAGACCTCTAAATTGCCTCGCAGAATTAGAGGCCAAAATATGTTTCCACGACAGTAAAATTTTTCTTGTGTTTAAGTTATTTTTCTTGGATGTGAATGCAATTCAGAATCTTTGAACTGCAGGTATCATGTTACGTGAATGGTAGGGAATATCTTTGTCACGTTGTTGTAAAAACACGTCGAGTACATTCCTTCATTAATGATTATCTATTCTCGAGCAGTTCCTCCCCCACTTCACGGAATACAAAAATTCACTTTTATTATTGAACGAATAATGTTCCTAAGAAAATAAGACGAGGCTTGACCTCGCAATAAATATTGGTTTCGGTATCTTCAAGCAATCAGTCATCTAGTTCAGGTTCAAGGTCACACTACCTCAAACACTGATACATTCGCTCACAGGTCAAGCAGTTAAGGCAAAGCGACGTTGCAGAGATTGTAAGACGCTATGTTCAAGGACGAATTTCTGAAGCAGTGCACGCCAGCTGAAGTTTGTCAACACGGAACAGCACGTGTATTGATTTCAATGCGGTGTTCTGCAGTGGCGCAACTCATTTTTCCATTATTGTGTCACTAATGTCTAATTTCTTTCATAAATACCTAAAAAAGTTAGATTATACATACTAGCCACAATCACTCTAAAATACTAGAGTGGTACAATATAGATACAATACGTATCCAGAAATATGCAAATACGCGAAGTTCAGCGTTTCACGCAAATGTACCACTCTGCCACTTACGTCAATAAAACCTTTCGGTACATTAATAAGAATTAAGACACTGTTAAGACATAAATTAAAACTGTGTATTAGCAACATTAGGCTATGTTAA